CAATCACTAGCTACAAATGGCAAGTGCAGACTGAATGTTTGGCAGATGTGCCAGGAGATGCCAGGCTGAGTGGGAATCCAGTAAGTTCCGGGGGAAGCATTGCTTTCTCTGTAGGGCCTGCCCAAGTTTGTTTCCACAGATAAAAGGACAAAGCAAAAAGGCTTTGTCCTTGGGTCATGACAAAATAACTTGAGAAGGTATCTCCATCCCCAGTAGCAGAAAACATGGAGTACACCATGCTATGGGAAACAGAAGCAAGTTTATAGTGATCCTCTAGCTTGCTGTGGGTCCATCCCACCTCTCTGAGCCCCTAGGATCTGACAAACAATACAGCCTGTACAAAAAGCACCAGGTCTGACCAGAGGCTATGCCTGGAAGGCAACACCAGCTGTCATGGCAGGATGCCTGGCTCTATGTGGCTAGTCTCTTTGAGTGTAGAGGTAGGACTTAGGTGTTCACAAAGATGGATTTCCATCCAAAATAAACAAAAACAAGACAAACCACAAAACACAGAGGCTTCACCCACCAGGTGTAGATACATATCTGTAATCCCAGCCGTTGAGAGGCTAAGGCCAAATCAGAAGACAGCCTTTATGGGGTGCTAAGGGTGGAAGGTGTACTAAGACAGGGCTATATAGTGAGTTCCAAGCTGTGGTACACAGGATGACCTGTATCAGGAGTTAAATACAGGAGCTGCCAAGATGGTTCAGTGAGTGAAGACCCTTGTTGCGAAGCCTGACAACCTGAGCTCAGTCCCTTGAACAGAATGCTGGACAGAGAGAACTGATTTCTGCCAGTGTCCTCTGACCTTCACAGATGCCTCCCAACACACACAAACAAATAAACAATCATTTAAAAAACACCAAAACATATATATAAAGCAGTGATTCTCGACCTTCCTAATGCTGTGACCCCCCCAACCATAAAGTTATTTTCTTGCTACTTCATAACTGTTCATGCTACTGCTATGAATTGTAATGTAAATATCTGATATGCAGAATATGTGATTTGAGACCCCCCCACACACAGGGATCACAATCCACAGATTTAGAACCTCTATGCTGTGCTATGCTATGCTATGCTATGCTATGCTATGCTATGCTATGCTATGCTATGCTATGCTATGCTATGCTATGCTATGGAGAGCTTTCCCAAGCAATTCTGATCTACCTACCAACCCTTCAACTGAAGTCATTATCTTTCCCATGTTCAGAGAAAGTCGCACAGCCTGACTTCATTATTCATTGCAGTGTTATCTGTGCATAATTACTGCTCTGGGCAGTTGGCTGCAGCTGGGGCCTATCTCCTGCACCTTTTTGAGCACCTAGATTGTTCATCATTAGATATGGATACAGAACTAGCACACCAATAATTGGACTGAGAGCAAGCTGATGCCACTTTCCCCCCACCTCCCACATAAAGAAAGGCTATCTCAGCCATACATTACTCCTGTCCGCTTCCCACAAGAGGCAGTGTTGTGGGGCTGGCCTGGGGTTTCAGCTCCATACGCTTCTTCAGCCGTAGGTGAACGAAGCCCAGGACTTAATCACTTCACCGTTAACCTTGTCCTCCTGGGAAACTGTGGGCTATGGCAAGGGTTGGGATTAGGGGATGTTTATTATCACTGTTTGGGGAGGTTGAAAGTAAGGAAACAGCTGTCATGAGTGTGTTGCCTCCTACAGAAGGAATGTTAGCACTCTCAGGAGCTCATTTAAATATACCCAAGGAGAAACGTTTCTTAGGTAGTTGTCTGTTCTTTCTTGCTCTACTTTCAGAGGTCCCATCACAGTCGTAGGTTGCATTAAGCCCCAAGCATGGTGGTGCCTAGGTGAGAGAGGAAGTATGCAATGAGGTTCAAGGGGATAGGGCCAGCCCGAGTCAAAGTTCAAGGGGATGGGCTTATGGGATATACCAGGTCAAAGGTCAAAGATAGGCAATGGACTATTGGCTAAAATTGAAGGTCAAAGAGACAAGCTCTTGACCAGAAACAAACAAATAAACAATAACAAAAACAAAATCCTGAAAATTAGAGGGAAAAGGCCATGGACCAACCAATGTAAAGATGAAGAGAATGAGTTTGGGGTTTGCTCAGGGACTGTATCTCTCCAACAGCTTCCTGATACAAGCCCACAAAACTTCACTTGCCCTGATGAGTCATCTGTAGCAAATAGACTAAAACAGACTTTGTGAGATTGGTGTTTGTGGCTTCCATTTTCACCTACAAGAAGTCTTGGAACATTATAGGGCAAGTGTTGACTACATTCACCCCTAGCAGAGGCCATATTAAGGAAGTATGGAAAGTTGTTCTCTTTAACCACAAATTTTAATGTTAGGAGTATATCACCATATCTGCACCATTATGCTATGGAGAGCATGCCTGTGTGGACAGTCATGTGTGGACATGTCATGTCATGTCCACACATGACTGTCCACACAGATCTTGTCTCATGCTGAACTAAAAGATTCCTATAAAACTAGCAAAACAGGAATGAGGGATTACCATGTCACAGAAACCAGAGCTGAAGTTCACAGTGACTGACATGGCTTCCTGCAGGGCTATGTCCAGCAGCAGTGCCCAGGCCTCCAACCATTAATCCAACATCGCTCTGGAAGCTGAGAGGCCTTGCACCTGCCCATCTTCCACCTTCCTTCTTTTCTTCTTCAGCTCATAGACACCTACGCAGCTTGCATATTTCAACCTGTTATTCTTTGCCCACCTCCACACTAGTCTGTGCACTCACAAAGGATCTTGGAGTTGCCCTCTCACAATGCTTATGGTACTGTCTCCAATAAGTTCTCAGTCCTGGGTATGCATTAGGGTCATCCAAGACCATTTTAAAAATATATTCAGAATGCCACCAGGGCTTCCTAAATCAGGCATATACTTGTTTTTAAGTCATTCCCCTAGCCACCCTGGTGATTCTGACTCCCAGTATCTCACACACACACACACACACACACACACACACACACACACACACACACTGTGTCAACTCTATAATGGAAGGGCCAGATCTCAGCATTAGGGCTCTGGCACTTTCGATGCTATCTGAGAAAGCTATTAAATAATACATAATTATCGATAACATTTACTGAGTGTTACCTCTATGCCAGGCACTATGGTAAGTAGTTCACGTGCATTTATTTCAGTTAATTCTGCCAGTAATCCTGTGAGGAGGGCACTTTTATTACCTCACTTAAAGGAGTAGGAGCTGAGCTGGGACAGAGCTGGAAAAACATATATACCGGGGACAATTGACAGTGCTGCTGTTTCCCACCTGATGCCCTGGTAATAAGCAGAACTCCATAACAGCAGCGAGTATGTGCACCACAGCAGGGGACTGTGGAATCAGCCACCTCCCGGGCAGATTTGGCCCTGCCTCTAGAAAGCACCCTGGGGACACAGAACCTTGAAAGAGCGTGGGTTCAACTTCATTCCCAAGGTACTGTCTCCAGTTTCTACAAACAGCATTGTGTAGATGCTGAATCACCAGAAATTGTCTGGATTCCTCCGGGATGGTTTAATTATATTTTTTTAATTAAAATGCATTCTGCTGCAAGTGACACAGATATGAGCGAAATCGACAGGGGTTTCTTCTTTCTATGAAATCCTGAACTTGGCAGTCCAAGCTTTGTCTCTTTGAATGGCTCATCTGTCCTGCAAGCCTCTTTCCTCTCAGCTAGTTTCTCATGGCTGACCAAGTTTTTCTGTTTTGGGTAGACAGAAGGTAGACAATAGCTCCAATCAGTGTGCCACTCCCCATGAAGGTGTGTAAGGGAGAAAGGGAGGGAAGATTTTCCTATGCCCCTCTCTCATTTGGTAGCAGTTAGAATTCTTCCCAAGAAGTCACCTTGCTGACTTTCTTCCCTCCTACAAGAAGGTTTCATGGCCTTTGCTAGCAGGAAGGCAAGGAGTGAGAATTATGCTCCCAGTTTCCTCCCCCCCCCAAAAAAAAGGTTGAGTTCACTGGGAAGAGAAGGGAAAGAAAGAAATGTTACTGACGAGAGAAATGATAGGCACTATCAGTTAGTCTCCCTTGAGTCATGACTGATCCAAAGTGGATTCTCCTCCATAGTGCTTTAAGCCTTTTTATTTATTTCTATTGGTGTGTGTGTGTGTGTGTGTGTGTGTGTGTGTGTGTGTGTGTGTGTGTATGAAGGCACATGTCTGCCATGGCATTTATATGGCAATAAGAGGACTCTGTGGCATGGTTCTATCCCAGCATCTTTATATGGGTCCTGAGAACTGACTCCGGTGGTCAGGCCTGAATGGCAAGCACCTTTTCTAGAAGAGCTTTCACTCTCAGCCCAGGATGTTTTTAAAACGAGCTTGTCCAATGGCTTCACTTCTGTTGAAGAAAGAAAGGAGCTCAGTTCTACAGTGTGGGTATCTACAACACGGAGCATTAAAGATCTTGGAGATGGGAAATTTACTTTGTTTTTTCCTACAGCATGATGTCTGTGCATCTCAGTGTGACTTGAGAGGGCAATGTGTGCTGACAAATGATGATCTAATCCCGACTCTTCAGTCAGTTGATGTGTCAGGAGCTTTATACTCTTCTCGGCATTCTAATGTATATCACAGACTGTATTAACCAGAGCCATGGAAAACTCACAAGGAATTTCCTCACTCCAACTGAATGTTAGTGCCCCTGACTGAACTTTTTTATGCCTTTGCCTTCACTTCCTTGTCTCTAGTAACCCCTACTTTGTTCTCTTCTTCAAGATCAGCAACTTCCATTTCCACAAAGTGAGAATGTATGGTATTTGTATTTCTGTATCTGGCTCATTTCATTTAGCATAATGCCTTCCAGAACTACCTGTACTGCTACAAATAGCAGGATTTTATGCATTTTATGGCTAAATAGTATCCTTGGCTATATGTTTACCTATTCACCACTGGTGAGCATCCATGTTAATCACGTTTTAGCTGATGTGAATGCTGCAATTAGGAACAAAAACATTTGATGATGGCTAATGAGCTCCTTTCCTGTTTCTAGGTCAACAGCGATCTTGTTTACATCACCTCCAAGAAAGATGGCACTCATGTGGTAGAAGCCGTGGATGCCACCCATATTGGGAAGTTAATTGTGACCAAAGAAATTGGAGGAGATGGCATGCAGGATATTACTGATACTTACAAATTTCAAGAAGGTAATTTGCTACAACTGAATGCATTTTTCCCAATTCCATTTAGTACTTATTCACTGTCAAGATGAAATATGTTCCAGAGAATGGCCTGGTATTCGCAGCATCTGGTATAAGGGCAGAAACAAAAACTCTCACAAGCAACAGACACCTACAGTTCGTCATTATTTTGCTTGACTGTTTTGAGCAGAATTCCCCTTCACATGGCTTGTGATGTGAATTTGTTTCAAATTCCACTTCAGTAGACTATATAGAATGTATTCTTGCTTATATGAATGTATAAGCAAGAATCCCATTAGAACATACTATCTGCATGATATCAACTTAATTAAATAATAGAAATTAAGTCACTACCTCACATTTGTTAAGTACTTTACAAATTATTTTTAACACATTGTTCCATTAGGTTGTCATGGAAACCTTCTGGTGCATATGATAGATTGATAAGATAGTACAAACTCACTAATTTAGGATAATTAGGTTGAAGCCAAGTTTCAATTACAAATTAATGTTGTGGTGAGGGGTGGAAACTTCTGTTGTATAGTATATTTCAAATCATACTATCGTGTTCAGTGACATCTCAAACAATAGTATCTCGACAATCCTAACAGTGCACAGAACAGTTTCTGTCCCCACACAAGAAGTAGAATCATTATCCAGAGAAGGTTGTGGGAACAGAAAAATGCTGGGTCCTGAAAGAGAGTCCAAAGGACTGAAGAATGAGGAAAGACCTCATTTGAAGACATAAGGATAGGGATTCCAGGAAGCAGAACCATAGTCAAAGACAGGAAATGAGAAACAGCTCCAAATGTTTAGGGTATTGCTAGCCGAGATACTGCTTCTACCCTGGAATGCCCAGTGCCGGCTGAGTGAGAATGCTGGCTGTCTTGAGAGCAGAAAGATACAGTATTTTGGAAAAGGTTCACCTCCAGAGATTCTTAAGAGTGGCATTTATTTTAGTGAATGGATAAAAATTATGGCTAATTAGCATACACTAAATATTCATTGGCATTCCTGAAGTGCTAATGTGTGCAGGGTTTGTTTTCAGTGTTTTATACTGCCTCCTTGCTCTTATTTACAGAGACGATTTGCATTATAAAGACAAAGCCTGCTGAACTGAGACAGGTGTGCAGTGTTGACGTTTACAATTTTTGTCATCTGAACTCATGAATTTTTACTGTTTTTCCAAAATGGTTCGGTCTCTGCGTTTGGTAGGCTTCCACTGCACAATACAAACACACAAAAGAAAACTTCTCTCCCTTGTCGGCATTTTGACTTTTCTCTAGAAGGAAAGTTAAAAACAATACAAACACAATAAGACCAAGCAAGCAAACAATGCCCCCTCTTACAGAGATGCAAAGAAAACAACTTGAAAAAGCAAAAGAGAGACTCCTTAGAGCATGTGTAAGAAATACACTGCACCCACTCAGCAGCCTGTCTTAACCACACAACACACTCCTACATGGGGCTGGGGACACCACAGCCCTGCTGTGTGGCTTCCTGTGGAAGAAAGCAGAGCCCAGTCCTTGCTGTTCCAGAAGGCAACATGGCATGGGCAGATGGACCAAGTGCAGAGAAGGGCACCCACCAGAAAGGGCCTTCAAATCTTCACGGTATGTGTGGCATAAACCCATGTCTGCACCACGGTGATGTCTGAGCAGAATGGCCAAGGCAATTCATTCTGTCCCAATCTGGTAAACTGGCCCCTAAGTGCCATGAGGTCACAATGTACTCACCTGTTCGACACACCGAACTGGCACCTACAGTGTTCAGTGTGACTGAAACACTGAATCTAGGTAGGCTCGGTAGGAGAGCACTTGCCTGGTTCAAGTCTCAGCACTACCAAAACTGCTATCCAAAGAGTAAATGAGAATTTTAGGTTGTGCTGGGGAAAGAGTTCTTCAGGGAAATGGATGAAGCAGGATGGCAGTGTGAACGGCTTTTTTTTCTACTGAGGAGCTGTAGATGGTCCAATGAGTGAAAGGTGAGCTCACCATCCCTGCGAGCAGTGTTCAGCCATGGGATCAGATAGTGGATGAAGGCAGCAGTAAAACCACTGGAAAGAGATAAAAGCCTGCAGCAGGTCCCAGCTACCGTGAACTGTCAGTCCCAGAGGTGACAGTGGTCACCAGATAGGAACAGGGAAGGTTTAGATCTTAAGAGAGGAAGACACCTATCTATGAAAGAGAAGCTGGGGCTTGACCTGTGATACACAAATGTAAATCCAGATGCCCAGCCATTCATGAAGAAGACTCCTGGGGTCCCAGAGCACATCACCTTAACATGAAGGTGAAGCTCAGGGGAAAGGTGGTGGGTGTTTTGAACCAAGTAGAACTCCTGATACAATGTAAGAGACAATTCAACCGCCTTCTGGGCTACGATTTGACACCAGGTAAAAATGCATCTCTTGATCAAGGGTGCTTCCCAATCTAACTGGCCAAACTTTCCAGTGGAATGCTTTTCTGAGACTCGAGGGACTCCATCGGACTGTAGTGGGAAAAGGGATTGATTATTGATGTCTGCTCCTGGCTTTCAATAAGAGTGAGCAGTTATTGCTCCTGGCTGTGGATTTTCTACTCTGAATCTCGCGGTGTATTTTCTGTAACTTCTCTGAATCCACATCCACTGAATACGGACAGTAAAATATGAAGATGAATGAGAACAGAAAAGAAATTATACCAGATACAGGGATGGAATGATGCAGTTAATTAACTGATGGAAAGATTACTTTTCACTTCAACTAAAACAGCATCAATTTAAACTTTCTTCAAAACATAATATTAAGAAATGTTAAAGGCTTGAAAAGCAGAATTCTGAAAATGTTCTGTGGTGATAGATTCTCTTTTATGACGGTATCTGGACCCATTCTCTCTTTACTCCATCTATTACTCCAGCTATTGCTTCTCTCTCTCTCTTTCTCTCTCTCTCCATCTTTCTTCATCCATGCATGAACATTTAGGCATCTGCTATATTCAACTACTTCTCTTAACAGAACTGTTTGCAACACTCACTGTTCATTTCTACACATGCCCATTCTGTGCTCTTCTGCATCTGCTAGCCACCATCTTGAGAGACCTGGGGAGGGAGAATATATCCAGCCTGTTTCCTCCTGTCCTCTGGGGATCATCTGCAAGCAACATCCTCAGAGCCGCTCTTTTTAAACAAAATTTTTAAATTTATTACAATTTATTTAATTTGTATCCTAGATGTAGCCCCTTCCCTCATTCCTTCCCAATCCTGTCCTCCCTCCCTCTTTTCCTCCCATACCCCTCCCCAAGTCCACTGATAGGGGAGGTCCTCTTCCCCTTCCAACTGACCCTAGCCTATCAGGTCTCACCAGGCCTGGCTACAAAGTCTACTTCTGTGGCCTGCTAAGGATGCCCCTACCCCTCAGGGGGAGATGATCAAAGAGCCAGCCACTGAGTTCATGTCAGAGACAGTCCCTGTTCCCCTTACTGAAAACTCATTTGGAAACTGAGCTGCCATGGGCTACATCTGTGCAAAGGATCTAGGTTATCTCCATGAAAGTTCCTTGGTTGGAACATCAGTCTCAGAAAAACCTGTGCCCAGAGTTTTTGGTTCTGTGGCTCTCCTTGTGGAGCTCCTGTTCCTCCAGGTCTTTCTATCTCCCTCTTCTTTCATAGGATTCCCTGCACTCTGCCCAAAGTTTTGCTATGAGTCTCAGCCTCTGCTTTGACACCATGCTGGGTAGAGTCTTTCAGAAGCCCTCTCTGGTAGGCTCCTGTCCTGTTCCCTGTTTTCTCCCTCTTCAGAAGTCTATACTGTTTGCCTTTCTGAGTGAGGACAGAGCATTTTGCCCGGGGTCATTCTTCTTGCTTAGCTTCTTTAGGTGTACAGATTTTAGTATGTTTATCCTATGTTATATGTCTAATGTCCACTAATAAGTGATTATATACCATGTGTGTCTTTCTGATTCTGGGACACCTCACTCAGGATGATCTTTTCTAGTTCCCACCAATTGTCTGAAAATTTCATGATTTCCCTGTTTTTAATTGGGGAGTAGTATTCCATTGGGTAAATGTACCACAATTTCTGTGTCCATTCCTCAGTTAAGGGACATCTGGGTTGTTTCCAGGTTCTGGCAATTACAAATAAAGCTGCTATGAACATGTTTGAGCAAATGTCCCTTCTGTATACTTGAGTATCTTTTGGATACATGCCTAGGAGTAGTATTGCTGGATCTTGAGATAGCACTATTCCTAATTGTCTGAGAAAGTGCCAGACTGATTTCCAAAGTAGTTGTACAAGTTTACATTCCCACCAGCAATGGAGGAGGGTTCCCCTTTCTCCACATCCTCTCCAGCATGTATTGTCACTTGAGTTTTTTATCTTAACTGTTCTGATTGTGTAAGGTGAAATCTCAGGGTCATTTTGATTTGCATTTCCCTGATGACTAAGGATGTTGAACATTTCTTTAAGTGTTTCTCTGCCATTCAATATTCTTTTTTTTTATTTTTTTCTTTATTAATTACACTTTATTCACTTTGTATCCCCCCTGTGGTTCCTTCCCTCCTCCCATCCCAATCCCTCCCTTCCTCCACCCTCTGCATGCATGCCCCTCCCCAAGTCCACTGATAGGAGAGGACTTCTTTTCCTTCCTTCTGGTCCTAGTCAATTAGGTCTCATCAGGAGTGGCTGCGTTGTCTTCTTCTGTGGTCTGGTAATGCTGCTTCCCCCTCAGGGAGAGGTAATTAAAGAGCAGGCCAATCAGTTCATGTCAGAGACAGTCCCTGTTCCTATTACAATGGAACCCACTTGGATACTGAACTGCCATGGGCTACATCTCTGCAGGGGTCTTAGGTTATCTCCATGCATAGTCCTTGGTTGGAATATCAGTCTCAGGAAAGACCCCTGTGCCCAGATTTTTTGGTTCTGTTGCTCTCCTTATGGAGTTCCTGTCCTTTCCAGATCTTACTGTTTCCCACTTTTTCCTAAGATTCCCTGTACTCTGCCCAAAGGTTGCCCATAAGTCTCAGCATCTACAT